TGATTTTGTAATCTATACACCATTTGATAACGGAGTGTAGCTACAGTGGCTGTTTCAATTTGCTTGGTTCCTGTAATTTGTAATTGGACTTTGAAAGCAGAACTCAAATGGGGGTCTTTGATTGGGATATTAAAGTTTGGGATAAAGGTAACAAAACTAGTGCCAGCGTTTAAGGTTGTTTGCACAGTTCCGATACAGGCATGCTGGTATTCTAAAATCTGGAATCTAACAAAGCAATCCGGGAAACTGCTTCCATACCTTTTCTTCCATGAAATGTTAAGGCTAATTTTATGGCTCCAAAATGAATATGAGTATACCCATCTTTAAGCCATTGGGGAAAAAGATTTCTGGGTAAGGTGATAGTGATGTATTGTTCAGCTTGGGTAGCAGGGATTTGGTATTGATCAAAGGAAGCTTGGGTAGCAGGGATTTGGTATTGATCAAAGGAAGAGGCTTGAACATATTCCTTGATGGTTTCAGGGTTCTTTTTTCCACAAAGTGTTCTTATTCTTTTGGTCCAATTTAAGCTAGATTTATCATAAACATGATAAGGATTAATTATCTGAGAACTAGTTTCAGAAAACCTGTCAGGCGTATAAGTTATTTCGAAAAGATGTTCTTGTTTAGAAAACATGGGACCTAAATCTGGAGTAGAAGAGGAAACACTATCTAAAGAGATATCTGAGACACTTTCTTCTGTCATTTTTGAAATAATCTACTGTGTTGACTGTAAATTTTTAAAATAAAGGTTAACGCCAACTTTCCTTTTCTAGTTAACAATGTATGAACTCCTTCCACGGCCTTCTTTCCTCAACAAAGCTCCTGTTATGTTAACTTTCATAAAGTATTGACAGTGGAATAACATCAACACTCTAAATTAACCTTTGATTCATACTATGTTTTCTGATGCGGGAGACCCCGTGGTACTAGTTATTTCAAAGGTCAAGTGGTCATTATGAGTCCATGATTTGGAGACTTTGTAGACCATGCTTTGGATAAAATTAGGCATGAATTTGAGGGATAGTGATTGAAGGTGCTCAAATATAATTCTTTCAACTAATCCCCATTCCACAATCTCACCATAATCATAGTTTTGATAATAGTCGAGATACAAGACAACTGTCATACTCTAGTGCAGGTCGAGGTACAGGTATCCAAACTGGTTTTCCAAGAGTTCTGGAATTTTTGAAAAATAACCTTTGTCCATCATTTGGGATATTTTAGAAAATGTCGCTAAGTAAGACTTGTTTAGCCTTTTCATAGAGACAGATTCTTTTGATTTTTTCGAAAACTGGATCATCTGTTTGATGATTGAGGAGTTGTGAAATCTCAAGAAAGGAATTTAATTATCCAAAGGAGAAGTCCTCATTCCAGTCCATTTGTTTAATGGATAGAAATATTTTCTCTTCGATTTTTCGAAATTTCGACTCTGATTGTTTATCAGGTTTGAGAGTGAACTCATATGTTTTCGAAATTGGGCTTTGTTTCCCAAGATATGGTTTTTCCATTCCTGGTCTAGCTCTTCATAATATTGTTTGGAATGTCAGGTTTTTTGAAAAAACTAGAAACTTGTTTAGTTTCTACTGAGAAGTTTTGGTGAAGGTCCTTTTGAAATTCTAAAGCTTCTTTGTAAGAAATATCTCTCGAATTCTGCGTTTGCGAAAATTGGTTATTCGCTCTAGACGATTCGCTTCCCTCATTGTTTATGAGTGGCCGCTTTCCTTTGTTGACAAATCCTTGTTCAGGATTTCGTCTCTGACTGTTGACGGATCCTTGGTTAGGATTTCATCTTTGACTGTTGACAGATCCTTGGTTAGGATTTCGTCTGTCCATCCTCCCTGCTCAGAAAATCAGCTAAAACATTGTTAGAACCTTTTGATGAACTCAACAAAGAATGAGTACATCTGTAAAAGATTCATCCATCTTATGCATCGAGGGTTTTTCCCCCGCTTTTTATTGGACAATAAGTCTTTGACAGCTTTGTTATCTGTTTTGATAACAAAGTTTTCTGGCGCAAGATATATGTGAAAGCCTTTTACTCCACGTATAACTGTCAGTAGTTCTCTTTTGTAGATCATGTAATTCCGCTCGTTTAGTTTAAACTTACCGGAATTATATCCACAAACCAACTCTTTTCCTTCAATATCAGCCTTTAAGACGGCTCTCCAATTTTCATTTGAGGCGTCAGTTTCAATGATAAGTTTATCTCCTTGTTTAGGAAAATAAACCGAAAGAATATTTTTCAATTCTTCTTTAATACGTTTGACAGTGTTTGTGTCATCCGTGTTCCAAGAAAATTTTTTGTCCTTTTTCAGTTTTTCCAAAAGAGGTATCTCCTTTTTAGAGAGGTTTGCAATAAAATTCCTACAATAATTAAGAATTCCTAAAAAGCTTTGAAGATGTTTTTTGTCTACAAGCTCATTTGAAAAATTCCTAATTTTGGAAATGATATGCTCCTGAAGTCTTATACCTGTTTCGTCTAAGACGATGCCTAGAAATTCGATTGAGATCTTCTCAATCTCCATTTTCTTGGGATTCAAAATGATTCCATGTTCAAGGAATTTTTTGGAAAGGATTTTGAGATGATTTTGGTGTGGTTTTAGTAAACACTAAAATGTCATCAATGTATACAGCACAAAAATCTTTTAAATCAGAAAAAATACCATCCATCCATCTCTGAAATATCTGTGGTGCATTGCAGAGTCTGAATGGCATTACTTTCCATTAATAATGCTTGACGGAGAACTGAAAGTTGTTAAAGGTCTAGATTCTTCTGTTGGCATGATCTGTCAGTATCCCGACAAGCAGTAAAATTTACTGAAACACTTTGCTCCCTTGGTTTGATGAATCAAAACATCTTTCCAAGGTATAAAGTATCCATCAAACTCAATGTTCTAGTTAAGCCTTTGATAGTTGATTACCATCCTGGCTTTACCTCTTTTTTCTTCATTATGGTTTCTTACCATGAATGCTGGGCTAGAGTGGGGACTTGTTGTTGGTTCAATCAAGCCTTTTTGTAGTAGCTCTTTCAACTGAATAGCAAACTCGTCTATATCTTTTTTGAGATAGACCATGGGTTTTACTCTTATGATCCTGTTTGGGTCAGAGAGTTTCAGGCTACAATATCTTGGACTTTTGGACCATAATTTCAAAGGGTTGTCAGAGAAATATGGTTCGAGCATTTTGTAAATCCAATGAGTAGCATCTAACTACATAAAAAGGTTAGTCTGAGATTTTTGTATGGTTCCTCCCCGTTTTTGAGGTGAGAATCCAAACTGACATCTATACTTACATTCTATACGTATAGGTATAACAATTTTTTCTCCTTATTGGGTCAAAGTTATTTTGTTTGATAAGATCTCAATCGGGTAATGATTTTGCAAAAAGTTGTTTCCCAAAATAAAATCTCCATGCATGAATGGAAAACATAGTATCGTAAGGATAGAAAATTTTTTATTTCCCAGCTAGACAGCAATGTTTTTGGCTTTGTACTCTATGAGAGTATTGTTCCCATCGATGCCGGTTGCATGTAATGGGCTTTTCATTCGTTCCCATTTTTCTAATGGTAACGCTGTTGGGCAACAGGCGCATGTGGAAGCTCCTGTGTCAACCAGAATATCAAGGTGATATGGTATATAACCCTGAAAATTAAATTCACCCAAAACGAACAAATATTTTTTCCTGTTTTGGTTATGAGAAAAGATTATTTCTTCCCCATTGTGAAATTGGATTTTTGAAAACAAAACAGTATTTTGAAGCTCTTCTTTTCATCATCTTTTGAATTACTGGTGTTTCCAGTTTCAAAATTGCTAGACAGTCCAGGAAAAAATGGTATTGAAATGTTTTTGAGAGGTTTTGGTTTTTGTTTAAAGATAGATCTTTTGTTTTAGATAAATCTTTTATTTCAGAAAATCTCGGTGCCAGACTGCTTGGTACTAATTGACTGAGACTTTTGGTTAAAGTTCTTCGGTCAGAAAAGTACAAGTTTTTCCCAAATGCTTGAAAAGTTACAGGCTACAGGTCTTGGCTGTAATTTTCAGAAAAACTATCAACCAACCAATTTCTGGGAATTTCCATATCCTTCCAGTTGATTAACCGAGGCTGGATTTCATTATCAAAATTTCGTGGTTCGAAAATTTCGACAAACCTGTTATCAATATTTTTTGTTGAGGTTCTAGTTTCGCTTGTAAGTTCGTGGATGGCTTTTCACTCAATTGCAAGGTTGAAACTGTTGTTCTTCATACCAATGTTTTTTGTCTGAATCAAAATCCTCACACTATCCTGGATGATTTTATCATGGATAGAAATGAAATAATTCGGTTTTAGTTTAAACCAAATTTTTCCAGTGACAAGATTAGATTGAATGCCTCCTATTATTGCTTTAATAGGGTCATTGAATCTTTTGGCCAAAACAACGACAAGGATTGGTGTGTCAATGCCCTGTCTGAAAAGTGCAGTGATTTCAATCAAAATGATTCCTATGTGCATGTATCTCAATCTTAGAAATTTTTTGATCATTTTGGAAATCTTGCTTTTGTCAAAAATAGGAATTTCTACAGATCCATTTTCAGTTGCTCTTGCAGTGGTGTTTCCACTGAAGCGCTCAAAGTGTCTGATGTTCCAGAATTGGAGCTTCGACATTCTTATCTATCAGGCCCATGGTCAAAGCTTGACAAAACATAAATTGGAGACAGATGGACAGATAATGCCTATCATAACTCTAGATGACTCGGTCTTATGCATTTATAAGAATGCTAGAGTTCATTATCGTTTTAGGCATTACAAACAAATCCAGTATAAGGAATAAAGTTCCAACAAGAATGCAAATAATATAACCCTCAAATAATCAAGACTATACTGCAAGCAAGAATGCAATGACATAACTCGCAAATCAACTAAAAAGAACAAAGTTCCAATCATAGAATACAAATTTTTTATCTTCGAAAATAGAATGGAGGATAATATAACTTTTGAAAAGGAATGCAATGGCATCAACTCACCTGAAGATTAGCATGAATTGATTTACTATGGTTGAAAACCCACTCATAGATGACAGTTGCCTTCTTTTGACTCTTAAAATATGCCTTCAGGGAATTTTTATATTTCTGCATCTCAATCACCGAACTGGATGGAAGAGATAAAGTACTAGGGAAATGTTCAGTTGGTACAATCAGGACATGATCTAAAACTAATGGACCTTTTGCTAGCGTACAGTAACAGGTTTCTCCAACACTCAGTATGAGATGTGATTCTATGTTGGGACTTGATAAACAAAACCAACAATGTTTCCTCCGACCAGTGCTTCCCTCGCTAGATGCAACTCCAGTATTGTCGTTTGGCCTGCAACTCAAGCACAAATGTAAAATTTAGACATCTGAAAACAAAAGAACAGTAGAAACAGATCTATACAGTACACACAACAGTGCCTTCTACACGAAGATGTGGTGTAGTATCAGACATGAAACATGCATGTAAGAGGACATTCTAACATTACTTTATGAAGAAAAAAAAAAGCATTGATAGTTTTTAGGATTCATATACTAATCAATATCTTTTCAAGTACTATCAATAATATTAGCAAGAAATAAAAAGGTAAAATAAAATAAGTCAAAGAAACCAAAAGGAATCTTGACAGCCCCCACCTGTTCAAATTTATGCCACTGCCATCATCTTCGAAACTTAAACTGTGACGAAATTTGCATCCAGAACCTCGTTCACATTTCCCTCTGTTTATGAAATCAAAACAAGCACCTTTCAAATATTTCTCCCTGAACGCATCGTCATGTACAAACTGACATTTTTCAGCTCGTGAACAAGAACCTGTAGAAATGAAACTGAAGCACAATCTTCCACCATCCTCACTTTGATCCCTTTGGCGCTTCCGAGATGTATCATAACGCCAATATTGCACATCCAATGATAACCCAGTTTGTTTTGTTGATTCATTCATATGAACGTCCTTGACTATCAAATAGGGGGATGGTGTAGTATCTAATGGCTTTAAGGCAATATCAGTAGCAGACATTGAACATGCTGGGGTGGGTGAAATTGCATGAATAAACTTCTGGAATGCATGCAGGAAACATGAAAAGTTAATGCCCATTAAGTCACTACATCAAGTAAAATACATAACAGTTCAACCAAGAGATATAAATACTAAAGAAGTAGAGGGAAAAATTGATGCAGATACATTCCATACACACCAAAGTCAAATCAGCATCAAAACACTACTCAATAATAACAGAGTATCATATCTTTATGAGAAGACACCCTGACCGAAACGCCACAAACCAATAAATATCTAAAACAAAACTGCCAAAACATGCCATGAACTTTGACAGCCAATCCTTGCATACAGAAACAGAAATTTATTTTCTGTACCCCCCCCAACAAACACAATAACAAACATAAAAATTTTCCACATGATGAGTATTATCTAATATTTCAAAAGCATAAACCCGCTTTCATTTCATCATCATTTCAGCCTTTTCCCAATTAATTGGGGTTGGCTATACGAATCCTGGTTCTCCATTTTGCTTTATGAAAGGCCATATCCTCAATGAGGCCATAAGCACCCATATCTTTTCGGACTACTTCCAACCACATCCTTTTTGGCCATAAACCTGCTTTCATTTACTATAAGAAAATTATTTACTATATGTGGCTTTAAAAAACTAAATCAAATACAAGCAAAGCAGCATTTGAATTTCAACATATAAGGTAAAACTATAAAAACTTATCCTAAAGTTATTTGAACAAATTTTAATCGAAACCTGCCCATCAAATAAAAGGTTCAAGCAAAATAAGGATTAAAACAAATAAATTATCATGGTAGCATCAAGTCCACTAGATACTGTGTTTTGCACCTAAAGACATAGATTTATGATATATATTGCTTTGATGTGTAGCATCTTTGCATTTCCTGTGCTAGGCAGCCAAGTCTTTTCAAAGCCAATGTTCCAGGTCGTCCTAGCTGGGCGGCCAGCCAGATTTTTGGGTGGCCCAGGTGGAAGAACAGAGGTGTGAGGCGTCCGAAAAAACTGTTTAGGTCTAAATTATGCCTTAAAAAAATGCATATTGAGGCATTTTTAATACAATTTTTGTGATCACGAAATCCAAACTTGATGCAAGGAGAAATTAAAAACAAAATAAAGAAAACCGTTGAGAGAATAAACCCTATCTCAAGGTCTGCAAGGGAATCCACCCCAAAAAGAAAGGTCTCCAAAGGAATCCACCCCAAAAACATGGTCTGCAAGGAAACCCACCCCAAAAGATCTTATCACAAGATCAACTTTATTCAACTCCCATTCTCTGATCATTCTCTGATCTCTTTACAATGAGGGATATCTTTCCTTTAAATAAACTTCAAAGCAAATAAATAAATAAATAAAAACCCTCTAAACCTTTCCCTAATCTCTCTCTCCCTATTTTCTCTTTCCCCCAATTTTCTCTCTAATCCCTATTTTCCTAAATCCTCACGCACCAAAATTTCCCAATCTTTATCTTGCCCATAAATCTATCTCTATCTAAATATCCTATAAATCTCTAGGTAAATCTCCCAAATCCATCAAAATAGGAGATCTAGATCACTTTGCCCAATATTAAAATTGGGCATATCCCCAATCCTACTAAAACTCCCGCCCCACCTTATCTATGAGCACTTCCTAAAAAAAATAATTTTTTATTACAATTTTGAATTTTCCCAATTTTATCTGCATCAAAACTCCAAAGACAAACCAAAGTAGTTGAGATTATTAAGAAAAATAGGAAAATATAATCCAACATTCAAATTCAGTACTAGACTACTACTAGACTAGACTATAATACTAAGTAATAGCAAAATCACAAGAAAAATATAGTAATCATATAATCACAGACTCGCAAGTCACAATTCACAAATTATAGTTTATAATCCAATTAATTCATATACATATCCAAAGTCCATAGTCCATACCTTCCATACCATTATCAGTATTACCATCCTAGTCCATAGTCCATACTCCATACCCCATACACATAAGAGGGGTAAAAAAGGAAAGAAATTTCTACTTGAAGAGTGAGTCTTCAATCATCATCAAAAAAAGTTGGACCAGCAACATCATATGCATCAAAGTCAAGCCAAAAAAACCTAAACCCTCCTCACCCCTCTTTCACTAAGGGAACAAAACTACAAAAATGTGCCTGCTCTGAGCTAGGCAATGGAAGCCCGCCTAAGTGGGGGCCCACAGACCCAGCGCCCAGGAGGGCCGCCTAGGCCTGGGCGATGCGCCGAGGCCTCCGTGGCCCGCTTAGGCGGACGCGTAGCTGCTAGGCAGGCCATTTTTTGGAATATTGGTCAAAGCCCTATTAAAAGAGTGATTTTATTGATGCAAATAAAGCACTTTAAACAATTGAAAGTTTCAAACCTATTGCATGCTTTGCATATGAGATACATAAAATTGCTCCTTAGAGGGCCTATCCCTTGCATTGCTCATTGGCTCCCGTAACCACTTTTGTGCTTTGACTAAACGGGTTCATACAAGGAATCAAAGGGGCCGGCTCCCTTCCAGCTGGCAGCACAGGTACTTGCAGGCACTCAATTGGTAGCAATGGCACATAACTCCTCAGCAAACTTTGATTGCCTCAACTTCCTTCTTAAGTGCATGTCATAGCAACAAAAACTCATTACCAGACTAGACAAACATGTCATGATACGAGCTGAGAACAGCCATGCAGCACTGTGTGGAAGTAAACTCCCATCCTGTTAAGGAAAGGCACACTTGTCCATATGTCGAGAGCTCGTAAGGTCTACGTAAGTCAAGTACATGTTCCACCATATGACAAGGCCTTAGTCAATTCCTTTGAGTTTCGGTGTCGCAACTGTACTCCCTAAGCAGAGGCCCCAATTCCCCGTAAGCCAAAGGGCAAACACTAATTATTTAGCATGGACTACAAGGGTACCTTATCCTGTTTGCTCTCCATGTTTGTGCAACCCAGCATCAATAGTGACCCAAAGAGCTGTTATCTTTACAAATCACTCACATTGCTCCCTTGCCACATCTTGAGCAGAGCCTATGTTTGCTTTGACTCTATTCCTATCTTTTCTTCCATCTATTCCTTATCCCTATTACTCGATTACAAGTAAATCTAGCATTGTTTATCCCTCCATTCCTTCCTAGTAATTACAACTAACGGACTCTAGAAATCTTCTATCTCCCATTCCTCTAAATCGTGTAAAAGAAAGTAGATTGGGAAGACGATAGCCTAGGTCTAAGATTAATAAGAGAATCTACTCCTTTGATTTAATTCCTTCCTTTGATCTCTATCCTTTAGAGTTTAGAATAAACATATGGAAATCTAGTACTATTACCTAAATATCTCATCCCCTAACCCTAAGAGAAGCACGATATATCATATGCAGTAAATCTAGTATATCAATTTATGCATATTACCATTCATCTCTGATGCGGGACAAAATTATTCCTATTTTTAATTTTTGTTTAATTTACTTTTTTACTATTCACGAGTGTTCATGGGTTACCATTCCTTGGGGTGTTTCTGGAAGTTTTAATATTGTTTAGGGTTCATTTAGGGTTTTAAATTTTTTTTGGGATTCTAGGATTTTTTTATATTTCTAAGATTTTTATGAGTTGTTTAGAAAAGTACTGTAAAATTGTTATCACAATTTTTTGTGAAGTTAGGTCTTTTTGCATTTTAATTATTGTATAAATATTCATGTCCTTAAACATTAAATATTATTATTTAAGAGATTTATTGGGGCTAGAGGGGTCATTCAATGTGATTTTTCAAAATTGAAAAAGAAAGCAAAGCTTAGGTTTCTTTAACCCTAGCTTGGGCTGAGGAGGGTTTCTCCAAGTTATAGCTTTTCTGGCCTGAAATTCTTGTTGATTTTAACATTTTCTTAAAATTCCCTACATCAATCTCATAGGGAAGCTTTAAAGAGAAAAATCAAATACATTAAACAAATAGTGAGCCATGGCATAGTTTACCATAAAAATGAAGTGAAGAATTTGCAAATTTGGTCAATAACGGGTTAAATTTAGTTATTGATTGGGCGATGACCCAGATTCAAGGTCATTCTCTGGAGTTTGTGTTTATCTTGGCAGAAACTTGATATCATGGAGAAATAAGAAATATAACAGTAGCCAAGTCAGCACCAAAGCTGAATATTGGGCATTGGAAAGTATGATATCGTAGATTGGTAGATGTTATGTATCTGCAATCATCATCATCATCGTCAAAGCCTTTTCCCAACTAATTGGGGAGTCAGTTACACAAATCCTAGTCCGCCATTATGCTCTATTAAGGGGCATATCCTCAATGAGGGCCATAAGTCACCATATCTTTTCTCACTACTTCCAACCATGTCCTTTTGGGCCTACCCGTTGCCTTTTTTTAGCCTTCCACTTGAACTAACTCATAGTTCCTAACAAATGTTGCACCGAGTCTGCACCACACATGGCCAGCCTACCAAAGTCTACTCTCTCTATCTTATCCCTATTGGTGCCACAGCCAAATTTTTATTAATGTATTCATTTCAAATTTTGTCCCTTCTTGTCTTGCTACTCATCCATCTCAATATCCTCATCTCAGCTACACTCATCCTATTGGTATATTGTTTTTTTATCATCTAATATTTCTCCCTATAAAGAAACACTAGTCTCACCGCTATCTTATAGAACTTGCCCCGTAAAACTCCGACCGCACATCTCCACTTCGCCCACCCAGCTCTAATTCTATGTGCAACATCTCCCTCAATCTCACCATTTTCCTAGATTATCACCCTAAGATATCAAAAGTCCACTTTTTTTCGTATTCTTGGCAATCAATCTTAACTACTTCATCGTCTGTACTCCTATTATTACTAAACTTGAACTCCATATGCGCTGCCTTAGTCCGGATAGTTTTAAAACTTTTAGATTCTAGACCACCCTCCAAAGTTATAACTCTGTGTTAACGCTAATCGAATCAAAACTATATCGTCCGCAAACAACATACACCATGGTACTTCATCTTGTAAGTGTCTAGTTAAGTCATCCATAACTAAGACAAAGGCATGAGCTCAACACTAACCCCTGATGTAGACCCATTGTCAATGAAAACTAACTCGTCTCTCCACATGCTAAATTGTTTCTAGATTTTTGGGGAGAAGTTGTTTTGACAACCAACTATATCCTTAATCAGACACCCATAAAAGCTGTCCCACTAACTCATGAGATTTTCATTGATTATGCTCTGTTCCTAGATCACCTTAGAGTGTGGGGATGCTCTACCCATGTCCTAATACCCCATCCAAATAGGACAAAATTAGACCCTAAAACTATTAAGTCCATCTTCCTAGGATACCCACCATATGGTAAGAGATATCATTTTTATAATCCTGACACAAGGGTTGTCCTTGACAGTAGGGATGCTCATTCCTTGAGGGAGAATTCCTCGAGGGCTGTGCCACTCTGAAACAAGCTAAGTTTCATGAGATAGAAAATGACACAAGTTAGGCCTTGGATCCCGAACCACCTCATTTGAGGAGAAGTAACCGAATTAAAAGAAAATCGGACTTCTTCACCTACCTAGGAGAATATTATGAGATAATTAAAGAAGAATCCCTACATGAACCTTGTTCCTACCAAGAAGCCATAACATGTCATGAAAAGGCACTACGGGAAGAAACCAAGAACGATGAACTAAACTCGATCAAACAAAACAATCGATCAAACAAAACAATGGTTGATAGTGAAACTACCTCTTGATAGAAACCCTAGAGGCTCCAAGTGGATTTATAAGAAGAAATTAAACTCATAAGGGAAATTGGAGAAATACAAAGCCAGATCAGTTGTTAAAGGCTTTACCTAGAAAGAAGGACTAGATTATAATGGACATTCTCCCTGTAGCAAAATTCCCTTCCTTTAGAATCCTAGCAGCCCATTTCAACTTCAAACTCCACTAGATGGATGTTAAGACTGCATTTCTAAATGGGGAGTTAGAAAAAAAAATTTATATGAGACAACCATAAGGCTTCATAGAAAAGGGTTAGGAAAACCTAGTGTGTAAACTAAATAAGTCCCTTTATGGCCTGAGACAAGCAACAAGGTCGTGGCAATACCTTGTCATCTGCTAGTTTTGTGCCAAACCAAGAGGACTACTGTATATATATCAAGGTCAGTGCAAGTGACATGGTTTTCATCACTCTATATGTAGATGACATGATTCTCTATATCTTGGAGAAGCATCATATGTTTTCGGAATCAAAATTAACCGAAACATAAAAGAGAGAACTATTCAACTTTCTCAAGAGACATATTGTAAGAAAAATTTTGAAAGATTTGAAAGGTAAAATTGTCAAACCATATTAACCCCCAATGATAAGAAGACCAAGCTTAGCCTAGCCATGTATCCCACTACTCCATAAGAAAAAGAAGCCATGTAGAGAATTCCATATAGAAGTGCAGTTGGGTCACTAATGTATGCTACTTTAGGAACAAAACAAGATCTATGTATCTCTCTCCTCCTTATTTGTGTCATGCCACTCTTTCTCCTTCTTTACGTGCATCACACCACCCAAAAATAAAAGAAAAGAGGTATCATATGAAATCCCAGAGCTAATGTTTGCTGATTTTTTAAGAAGAAGAGAGGTACAGCCAACCAAGAGAAAAATAAACCCTCTCACCTTGCCCTAGTTTGTTCACATAGGCATTCTACAAACCCTAGTTGATTTTTTAGCTCTCTAAAACCCTAGAAAAAGAAGTATTGCCTGAAATGCTTTCTATCTCAAAATTTCCAGCAACACCTAACACCTAAATGAGTAAAAATGCGCCATCAATAAGGGAATCGGGTGTGTGGTGTATCAAGACCAGTGAGGGTAACTCCGGGCAAATTCCAGTAAGTCTTCCCAATAATTTTAATTAATTTTTCAGTATTTTTTCTTATTTTATATGAATTTCAGGAACTTGTTTTGTATTAAAAACTATAGTGGAAGTTTGTTTAAAGCTCATGGATAGTTTCTATTTCTTTTGGCAGTAAAAATAAAGATCTTAGATTGTATCTAGAGTATTATTTTAATCTATAATTTACAACAACATGTAGTTGCCCATGTAAGTGGAATTCAGGGCATTTGGAATAAAAATAAAAGAAAAAATTTTGAAATTAATACTTTAAGTTCCACATAACCACTACTTTCAAAAAGTACTGAGAAAAGATATAGGGACTTAGGGCCTCACTGAGAATATCGTCCTTAATAGAGCAGAATGGAGGACTACGATTCGTGTAACCAACCTCAATTAATTAGGAAAAGGCTTTTATGATGATGATGATGTTCGTTGTAAAGGACAAGTATGTAATTTCAAGATTTAGTACCCTAACCATTAACTAATTTCGGTTAGAAACAATATAAATATACATCTTTGACTGTCACCCTTCACTCATGAAGGAATTAAGGGTTATGTCACTCTTCTCGCTGCTTCCTCTACATCTCTATCTATACCACAACTTATTCTTCTCCCTCCAATATTCAAGGCAATATTTTAACACCATGTTTGTGGCCGGATTAAAGTCTGGCTACATAACTAAATACGTTAGTGATGAAATTGCCCCAAGTAGGAGCAGATGCAAAATAAATTCAAAATGCCCACAAGTAGAAGCAGATGCAAAAAAAATTTGCTTTAAAATATCTTTCAAATAAATTATTTAAACAAATATCATAGTACTTCTTGATGAGTGACATACAATCGGCTGGGTTCCACATAAAAATTAAAGTGCCATATTGGCAATGGAAACTCACTTTGAAATAATACAGGACAGGCACCTTACTCTAACCATTAGCTTGTCCAGAGCCATCAAGAAACATCACTAAAGAAAGAGTACTCTTTCCACAAAACCATCACCCAATAACTACAGTCCTTCAATTCAATGATAGGGCTATAGGAAATCTTCTAATGCCAATATAAATAATTGAAATACTAATGAAAGCACCTGTAAATTCTTTCCACTTCAACACGTATAGGATTATTATACCATTAATTTGCATATAGAAGGAGCCATCAACCCCTAAAAATCAATATCAAACAGCTTTAATCATTCAATAATTTGGCCATGACTTTAATAAGTTCCACATACACAATTCACTGGTTCTCAATCATTAAGATATTTCCAAACCACATGAATTTATATTTTTCAAAAGCTGTTTTTACTTTGTTCAAAGAAATTTGCTAAAAATCACTTTTGGCCAAGGATAGTTAAAAATAGTGAGAAACCGCTGAAAAAGTTGAATAATTAAAATAAGGAAAACTATAAAATTAGACGATTTATCTTTGGTACAAGGTGGTTACAATTAATATTGACCATTGGATGTCAATTAGACAGCTGCATTTATTCCATTGACCAAGCTCAAACTTAAAAAAAAAAAATCTCAAAACTTTGTGACACACCCAAGCTATCAGATTCACATCGGATGGTTGTAAGTAATTGTGACTTCCTTGTATCAAAGGTAAATAGTCTCATTGTATACAATCTCTTAAAATAATATTGTAATTAGCTGGAAATTGCCAAAAAAATTAAATAATTAAAATAATATTGTAATAATACGAAGTACATAAACAAGTAACACAATACTATTTTGTAGAGTATATTAATTTTATATAAGATAGTCTATTCTCAATTAAATTAATTGTCAAACAGGCCCTTAGGATACAAATTCCAAGATTAAAGGTAATTGCTAATGAATAAGACCAAAAAGATAAGAACACTTAGTTAAAGGGAATCGACATCAGCAAACTTCATTCATGTGAAAAACTCAAAAAAACCTTCTTCGATTTTTATCGTCAATACCATCAACAAACCTGCTTAGTACTGTTCCCCACACATGCAAGACCAAGAAAACGTGTCACATGTACCGCATCATTGTTAGAATAAGGCTCTCGAGCATAAAATATCCCTTTAGCACCTGCAATATGATAACTATCCCAAACGAGATACCCATCACATCAAGCAGCCATTAAATTAAATATATTAAACAATGCAAATGGTTCCTTTTTTCTCTCTAGATGAAGCCAATGGTAAAAGAACTAAAATAGACAATAATAGCAGAGAAATGTGTACAGTTTGAGACACATTTATAAGTCAATAATAATACAACGTTGGGAGGAAGCAGTGCAATATGAAAAATTCACAAGATACTCAGGGCAGCAATTTCTTTCTTTTAATTGTTGATACTTTGTAACAGAAATAGCTAGCATGGTGGCAGAGATACTTAAAAGAAATGGGAGCTCAACACAGTGACTTCATTCTAATCTCTAGCATGAATAGGGGCAAAACAAAAATAGAAAACTGTAACGCAAACTATTGGAAATAGGAAATGTCAGCATAATAGCTTGGTGCCTGTCCTAATGTCATCTATATACATAGTTTTCAATTTCATATACATACATAGTGCCACTGAGCACACCAGTATTCGACAAGACATGCCCCTGTATTAGCATCCTTTTTTTGATAAATGTTAAACCTTGTATTGAAGAAAAGAGGGTAGAGACACGAGAAGGAAGTACATCCAAGAGTACCTTTAAACCGGTACTTCTGGTAAAAAATAAGGTCTTAGGACGCTATACAAAATGAGATTATAAATTATCCCCTTACACTGTAAGTAGAAAATGTACAAGAGAAAGAGCAAAGAAGACCGAACGAGTTGAACAAAAAAGCCTCGTCCGAGAGGAGAAAGAGTGAAGAGTGTGCTTCGTGCTCGACCCAAAAGAAGCTGCAGGAGTGGGTATTCATCTGCGTTGGCCATGGCTCCGTCCTTGGCCAGCTGATCGGCGAGCCCATTCGACGTCCTCGAGATATGCGCCCATAAGATTGGCATATCCCTGCAAAGATCCTCAATTTCATCAAAAATAGGCACAAGATACCAAGGGGGGGGCGGTCCTGGAAGCCCAAGAGATAATGTTTCTGGCGTCTCCCTCCACTAGAAGAGGCCGTCCCCTGTATTAGCATCCTTATAGACATAGAAAGTGACGGACATCAAGTCGTGACACAGATCAAAGACTTGCTCACAAAATAGTGGGTAGTCACCTAGGGATTGGCATTTCTTTCCATGCCCACTTAATCACTCTGAGACACTCTCCTCCCACCACAATTTGCACCTACACTCTCCTTAGGCACAGCTTGAGACCAATAACTAATGCCGTGTCCCCATTATAAGGAGCGGCAGAAATTCCAACCAGACACACACGATACTAGAATTGTCCCCCTCTCACATCCCAGGATACTGAAACCAGCAGACCCCAGGTTGACCCATGTACACCAATCAAAATTCGGCTTTGCCGATCTAGGAGTTGGCAGCAAACACGGGGGTTGCAGCCTATCAACATCAACAGTATGAATATCACATTCCTCTGCCCCCTTAGATGAAAATATGACGTGATTCTAAAACTCAGTTTGCAGCAAGGCCCAACCTAATAGCCCTATCTCAGGCCCTCACCTGGATGGACAAATACTCAACAAGGTAAATACATAGACTTCCAAAACCACTAATGCTCCTAGAAATATGCTCACGGTCAACACTTTCATAGTTTGTCTTATTTGTCATGGTAGTCAAAATTGAGCAAAGCAACACCCAACAACCACCTAGAGGGAACTGGCGTCCAAACGCATTTCTTTGTTCTTCATTTGTGCAATGCACTCAAATAAGGCTTTTCGCGTCACGACTAAGGACGTTCTTTCTAGGGAATTATCCACGAGTTGCATGCACATGTTCTAGTTCATTACTCCCCATGTCATATGCAAGCCAATGTTCCTATCCAGAATATCTATTTGAATGTTGATGTCTAGTAATGGACCATTGGAGTTAAAGGTGTGCTGATGAAACTAGTTCATCAACTTTAGTTGTCATAAAGAGATCATGGTTGTCAACTCCAATGATCTACCGTGAGCCAAGAGGGCGATGATGAATCTCTCCAGGAGTCTTTAATGGACTCTACACAGACAAGTCATATTTTCCATGGGAAACAGGAGAGCACGCTACCTAATGCACTCGTGTATACCAAGTGCATGTGATCTCAGCAATTGTGGTGTTGGACAGCATTCATGCAGCCCTACATCTAGGACTGGGTATTTATTAGGTTAAGCAAATCATTAGATTGAATTAATGCTCAAGGTTCAATGCTCACAGATGGCATTGGTCAGGTTTTGGATGACAGAATATTGAAACTAATGAAGTCTGGTTGATTGTTACTAGAGCACTTCACAGCCATCTAGTTCATGTATGTTCTACCACGGGCTTGCCAAATGGCTTTTTCATTTAAAAGAACATACATATAGATCATTTCAGGGTGTTGTTGTTCTCAAAAGTTGTTTCACATATGTTTAAACATCTTATGTTGTTTATCAACTGAACCCATAAACATAAACAACTTGATTTTGTTTCTTATAGTCAAAGGTCCCTGGAAATTTTGAGCCAATGGAAGTTCAATAATTGTTTTACCAGCACTAGGAGTTTTAGCTTTAATATAGTGATTTGGGAATATTGATCATCTTCATAGAGGCTTCTCAAAGGACTCCTGTTTCTATGCATGAGTGAGAAAAAGACAGACAATTGACATCTCTATCGGATGAAATTCTAATCAAAACATTTTGAAAGGAATCTAGCTTTTTATTTAATAAATACCTATTAAGGGGCCGTCACTTGGTGTGACGGTAAAAGGCACGGGCAGCCAACGCAAGAGCAAGGGATCGAGTCCTGAGAGCGGCCACTTTGTGCATTAAAAAAAAAGGCAAAGGATAGGACCGTTTCCAGCTCAGCCCTCCCAGGACCTTGCATAACCGGGTTTCAGCCCTTTTTTCTATTTATGTCTAATCGTCTCCTCAGTTATATAGTTTGGTGGCTACCATCATGGCCACAATCTGGAGAATGTCAATGTAGGAACAATGGGAGATTCCAGAGATATCAAACAAACAAAATGATGCTTGGGGCAGTGATAAGAGGGATTCAATGTTATTCACCAAAAAAAACAAGCATAAGGGGGATCTTCAATCCCTCATGAAGGGGCCAGTTTAAGGCAGTGAATCTACAAGAATCTGGATGAAAATCATCAGCAAATATCAGCACAGCATTGGAGCATTCAATTAAGATGAGTCCTCCAACACAGGGTTTAAAATTTAACAATAGCTCTAAAAGAAACGCCAGCGCAATAGCTTTCAGAGCTTTAATTCGTAAAAATGAAAATGGATAGTTCTAAAAAGCTATTGAAGACCGCTCAGTACTGCCATCCAAAATGAACTACGGAATTGTGCTTCCAATGAGAACACAAACTCTGATGCAATTTTTCAAAACATGCATTGTTAAGGTCAATTACTTCAAAATTTCACGTTTACAAAAGGGAATACTGCAGATTAACAAGGATCTTTGAAAAGATGCATGACCTGTGTTCTATAGTACCATCAGTTTCTTGGGCGTGCAACCAGAAGAGAGCAGTTCAGCAAAATTACGAGTGAATAGAGGGGGCATGGAGACGTGGAATTATTTATCTCTACATCTCTTTTCTGTTTCTCCCATGTAAGAAACTCTGCCTTGCTGCCTATATTTTTTTATTAAACTTACAAGCACTAATGAACTCCAAGTTATTTATTTTCACCATGTATGAATTTGTAAATGCCACGACCTAACCATACATTCGATGATTCAAACTATTTGACAGAATGTTCCTCATGCAAATTACTGTTTTGCATAAGTCTAATATCATACAAAAGTTTGTATGATTCAAGCCTCAATAACGTAAGTACAATATTATACAAAACTCCTCAGCTTGAAGCCCCAAAACTGAAAGAAATATGATCCCACAATCACATTAAGCACAATATTCTGCAAAACTCCTATGTTTGAAGCCCCACAATGAAAGACATATAAGTACCTAATATATGTTAATAAAAAATACCAGCCCACAACTCTATACAAATTCCACCTCACCCACCAACAGAGAAAAATGGCCACACACTTGAGATGCCTTAACAAGAGAAATGAAATGACTTGATTTAAGGGAAAAAGATTTATTCCCCCTCAGTGTATTTTTTATCCCAAGAAAATCCTCATGTCCACGAAATTCCTATCGAACTCCGCAAAGCTTGCAAAATAGGATGTCAAACCACCACCTATCCTCATTACCTGTTTGAATTACTTTTCTACCCCCACTCTTTTAGATAATCCCCCTTCCTTTGTAGCCCGAGACCTTCTCTCTTCCGCCTGTAAAACTCTCTCCCAAGGTTGTTGATATGAAACTCCCTCTCTTCCATCCCATGACTCTCTTTCTCTCTCTTCATTAACCTCCTCTAAGCCCTGCCTCCCTCTATTCATATGCAAACACTCCATCTCTACCCCATGCCGCACTATACCCCAGCGTTCAAGACTATTCCCTGCTATCTGTCGACCCCACCTTTCAAACACTCTCTCCTACAAAATTTTTAGGATAGGGAAGTTTTTATCTAATTTATTTAGTTTTAAACCAAGAGTAGTGTATGCATACAGAGCACCCTCCTACCAGTAATTTCCATGCTTGGATTCTTTTGTGATTCATAGAAGACCCAAAACTTCCCAACTCTTTATGGTGATAACACACTATACCCAAACCCTGCAACTCAGACAAATCCATCTTCCTCAATTCAAAAGCCCTAAATCTCCTGGAAATAGAGAAGAGATGCTTTAAATTGTAGAAGAAGAAAGCTCAAGAACGAAAAGAATCCCGAAAAGTATAGTAAGAGCGAGGAAGGGGGTAGAAAGAGATAGAGAAAGGGAGGCTCAACTGGAGGTTATAAAGGAAGAGAGAGAAGAGAGAGGCTGACAGATGCAGCGAGAGAGAGGGGGATTCATGGCTGCAAGAGAGGGGGAGTCAAGATTCACAACTACAAGAGAGAGTGGGGAGTCTTAAAGAGAGAGAGAGAAAGAGGTTGGCGACTGCCAATGAAAGGGGGCGACTGCCAAGGAAAGGGGGAAGTCATTGAGAGGGAGGTCGACGGCTGCAAGAGAGAGATGTGGGAGTCATTGAGAGAGAGAGAGAGAGAGGTCCAGAATTACAAAGGGGGGGAGTATTTGAGACAGAGCGAAAAAGGCTCAAGTGAGACAACAAAGTCACACACACACACACAGGCTCACAATTGCAAAAGAGATAAAGGAGTGTTTTTGAAAGAGAGAGAGAGAAAGAGAGGTTGACGGCTGCACGAGAGAGGAGGGGCATCCTTGAGAGAGAGAAGTTCATGGGTGGAAGAGAGAGAGAGAGGTTTTCATTGTGGGTTACAGATAGGGGAGGATTGTTTAAAAGAACAAGGGTAAAAATGAAGAGTAAACACAAACGAGGGGGTTTGAGGTCTACTTTTTGTAACTTTGGGGAGGTCCATGGGTTTTCCTTGAGGCCAAGGGCTTTCTTGGGACCAAATACATATGGGAGGCTACACATCTTTTTCCCTTGATTTAAAAGATCAAACTGGAAATGCTTACCGAGGCTTTAACTCAGCAGCCAACTCTGAGATGACAACATCACTACCAGAAGGGTCCAAAATTTCTGGCCGAGGATTGGATGTATAAGCCCGATTCGAAATTCCTTGTGGCCATTCATTAGTGATTACCAGTTAAGGCATCAAAACAAGCAATAATACATGATTAATGGAAAAATGAGCAGTAGTGACAAACATAAGAAGTAATGGTCAATCACTATAGGCACAAAATCATTTTGGCGAAATTTGCAGCACAACGAATAAAGTCTTCTTATTCATGTAGTGGACCCACTGAATCACCATTTTTTGGGTTATTACTTCATATAGACATGATTTGCTGGCTGCCTCATTAACTCCCCACTTCTTGGGAGCAGTTTTGTAAGCTTTCTATGAATATAATTATACACCAGTAATATGCATGTGTGATGCACGTGGCATGAAATATATGTAATATTGTAAAATATTCATGAAATATATGTAATATTGTAAAATATTTCCAATAAACATGGCCTTAGAGAGAGAATTCAGTGAATGTATCATCAAATTGAA